CATTTGCTCACACTCCTCATGGCTCCAACAGCAGGGGCTGAAAGCTCTCCAGGGCACAGCACTAAGGCTGCCCCTCTACCCTAGCCTTACCCCAAGAATGCAGGACCTCGCCATAATTGAGCTTGGCCTTTCTTGCCAACATAGCACTTCCACATACCATCCTGCCCCTACCCCAGCAGCAGGCACTCCCTCCTGCCAGAAGGACTCAGAGTCAAGCAGAGCATGCTAAAATATTAAGCTTCAGTTCCACACTGAAAGGCTGCCTGTGTTCACAAACCAATGTGTGGGAGTTTGTCTTGGCATTTAAAGTTAAGTGTGGCAGGAATTCCAACTGTGATGGTGGCAGAAAGCAGCAGCTCCTCAGGAGTCAACAGAGTCGGTGACTCCAGAAAGAACAGACCCACAAGACACAGGGACCCAGACCTTCTAATTTTTATTACCTGCCTACCGCCTTCCCCACTTCAGTAACCGCCACCCCTGTCCTCTGCCCGAAAGTGTCCCCAGAGCCTCCTACATGGCCTTCCTGCTTCTGCCCTTCTCGTCTCTGTCTGTCTCTCTTTATTAAAGCAACCAAAACACCCTGTTACACACAGGGCTGCCCCGCCCCCAAACAGCTACTCAAGTCCCCTGAAGGCTCTGACCCATTCAGAAGGAAAGAATAACAGTCCATATCTTCCTTTGATCATATAACCCTGTCCACCACCTCAGCTACAGCAACCTCGCTCCTTCCTCACACGCCAGGCAGACTGTGTGAGGAGCAGAGCCTCTGGTACTTGGCACCCCTCTGCCTAGGGCCCCCTTCCTCCAGCCATCCAGGGCTTTCCCTCACTGCCTACAGATCTGTGCTCAGAAGGCACTTTCTCAGTGAGAGGTGTCCAGACACTGCACCACCACGAGGCCCTCCAGCTATACCTGCCTCTAAACTACACACCCTCCTTCCTCAAAGATTTGATAGTGGTTACCACCTTCCAACAATCAGTTCTCCGAGGACAGAGCACAAATCCTAGTCAATTTTGTTCCTGCCAAATAGCATGAGTTAAATAGAAATTAACTGGATGAATAACTTATTAAGCTCTCAGGTAGTCCAAGAAATATCTATCTCTATTAATCAATCTATCTATCTATCTATCTATCTATCTCTATATCTCTGTCTGTCTGTCTGTCTGTCTGTAAAAATGGAGGTGCTAGATAGTTCTGTGTCAACTTCACACAAGCTAGTTATCTGAAATGAGGGAACCTCAACTAAGAAAATGCCCCCATAAGATCTGGCTGTAGGGCATTTTCTTAATTAGTGATTAACTGGGGAAGGGCTCAGCCCATTGTGGGCAGCGTCATCCCTAGGCTGGTGGTCCTGGGTCTACAAGAAAATAATCTGAACAAGCCATGGAGAACAAGCCAGTAAGCAGCATTCCTCATGACCTCTGCATCAGCTCCTGCCTCCAGGTCCCTGTCCTGTTTGAGTTCCTATCCTGACTTCCTTCGATAATGAACAGTGATAAACCCTTCCTCCCCAACTTATTTCTGGTCATGGTATTTTGTCACAGCAATAGAAATCCTCACTAAGACATAGGTCAGGAAAATCTTCCCTTGGCTGCCACAGCCATCTGATCCACTATAGCTCCGTCCCATTACAAATACAGCAGCAGCCAACAGCTCCAGGAAAGGCAAAAATTGGAAGTATCACACATATCACAGGACGAGATGACTAAAACCCACTCAGATCTGTAGCCTCCTGGAAGAAGGTATAGTCTTTCTATGTGTCTGCTCATCCAGAAAAGGAAATTGAAAAAAAAAAAAACTCCATTAAATACACATACAAAGACCAGGAAGTGCACATAGCAGAGGGGTCTTAAGACCATCTATCACACAACTCTCTTAGCTAAATCGTTTTCTCACTCAGGCTAATGTGAGAGATAGCTGGCATCAACCACCATTTCTCAGACCTTCACAATGAAGAGGAGAACAGGGTACTTCCTAGACAGCCAGAGCTGGTGGCCTAACTGTAGAAGCCTGTGTGTGAAAGAGTACTTGAGTCCAAGCTGTGGCTGAACCAGCAAGGCATTAAGGGAGCAGGTTGCAGGTGAAGTGTGAAGAGTAAAAAAACGTAAGCGAGGAGGGAAGGAACATTCGGTCAGCTAAACAGAGCATGAAAATGCCGCTTTCCATGTATATGGAAAGAACGGCATGGGATGTGGGAGACCCTAGGAGCGAAGGCCAGCAGCACTGCAAAGGGAACAGTTGAAAAGAATGATTAGGAGTGGGGGCTAAAAAGCTGAGCACTGGCCAGGTTACAATGGTGTGAGACAGCACAAAGGAACACCTGTGTGTAGCAGGCATGACTAGACAAACAACCAAGGGCTTTAAACCCACCCTGCCTTGCTGAATGTTGCCTAGAGGACAAAGCCATGTTTTGCAAACGGCAAATTCCTAGTAGACAATGTATCAGTGGAGCACTAGAACAGTATATGGCAAACACCTGGTCCATCCATCATCTTCACTATCAAGGAACTGAGAAGGGTTTTGCTGTGCAAAACTCCCTTCACTGTCTGGAACTTGGAGGTAAAACTCTGTGGTCACACACACGTACACACGTACACACACACACACACACACACACAGGGCTTCCCTGGTTAAAGACAAAAATCAGGAGCCCCACTTGAAGAGTGGGCAAGACCCTGGGAGCCTGGCCGAGATCTCAGCTAGCACTTTCCTGTACAGGTGAAAACCCAGAATGTGAGCACTGAACAACTCAGGAAAGAATGGGGCACACCTTTGCACACTCTTCTTCTGGGAGACTTCCAGACCTGTCACCAAAAACAGAAACACTACCACCACAGGGGAAGGCTACAGGGCACAAGGGCAGCGCAGGGGCTGCACTGGCTCTCTTCAGGACCCACCCTCTGCCCTGTCCAGTCCTCAGCAGCATCCTCCAGCAAGTCACAAGACTCCTCATCAGTTCTGTAACTTGGGAGCTGTTCTCAAAAGTGCCTGATATGCAACACAGCAAAAGCTGAGAGGAAAGAAGTCTGCCTTTGGTCATGTGGGGTCACACTGAAAACACTGGGACTGTGCCAGTTTCCTGTGACATCCGTAGTAGCCTCAAGAGTTGGAAATGTTTCCCATCTTGGGTAGTGAAACCAAGATGTCAGCAGATTGTGCTGTCTGTGAGGGCCATTTCCTGTCATGTCTAGCTTCTGGTGGTTGCGGGCAATCCCGGTTTTGACTTGTAAACACATTATTCCAATATCTGCTTCTATCTTGCATGGTCACCCCCCCCACACACACACACACACACACTTCTGCCTCTCTCGGTATATGAAGTTCCTTGTTCTTATGGGAACCAGAGACTGAATGAGGGCCTTCCCCTCCCCATTGCAGTATGATGTCATCTTAGCTCAATATCGTCGACAAAGACCCTGCTTCCAAGCAAGGTCACAGTCACAGTCCAAGGATTAGGGATGTCACTGTTCAGCCCAGTACAAAGACAGACTACCACACCGGGTATAGTGACCCACTTGTATACTCAGGAGCATGAGGCAGGAGGATCAGAAGCTCAAGACTAGCCTGCACTATAAATGAGACCCTATCTCAAAAAAAAGTACTATTAAGAGACAGTATTTGATGGACAGGGTCATTGAGTTCTACAACTCCATACAGGAACGCCATTACTGTTCTATCTCAGTTGACTCTCAACAATAAATTACACTTCATACTTCGCGAACCGAGTCACGAGATGTAAAGGCAAGGACAGACGTCACACTGTCACGTCCTTTTGTTTATCTGGGCACTAGGCTCTACATGTTTGTCCCTGTCACAGTAGGACCTGCAACTCTTAGCCCGGTACCTTCCACTTGTCTTAAACTACAACAATTCGTTTTTATAAAAGTTCTTAACTATTCAATCAAGCCCAGTCCTGGTACTGTAAAAAAAAATAAAATAAAAAAAATAAAAAATAAAAAAATACATTGTCTGGGTACCTCCAAGGACTCCCTCCATCTTCCAAGTCACTGTGGCCCAGCAGTCAGTAACCCCTGCCGACCCCCAGCCACTCTGAAAAGCACATTTTGTGACTGAGTGCCGTGGATGTCAACGTTTACAATTTTAACACACACACGGTAGTGTCTCTTATGAAGCACGAGAAGACAAACCATTTTCTGTGCTCATGAATGGTTCTATTTAAATTACTTCAATGTCAAAAATCTTCAGGAGAGGTAGCTAATGTTAGAATCTTAGATTTCATATCTGAGACTTTGGTTTGGGAACAGAATAAACTATGTTTGAAATCTTGAGATGGACTTTTCTGAAATATAGTCTAGTCAGTGACTGAGTTGATCGTAGGTCTTTTCCGGGTACTGTCTCTTCATTCCCTAAGGCCTAGAGAGGCATCAGGCCATAACAAATCACAGAAGGACTTTGGAGTTCCATAGCTTCCAGACTGCACCCAGGTGTTTTTATTATTATTCTTTGTTTCCTGTTGCTGTCAGAAGACTGCTGTCTAGAGGCCAGAAGGTGAGACCACAGAAATTCACAAAGTGCTTCCACATTCAAAGCAAAAACATCAGCCCACAGGGGAGATGAGGGAAGAAAAACTAAGTACTCAACCCACCATACACCCAGCAGAGACCGATCTCCTCTGCAGGCGCTGCCTCTCCCTGACCAGTTTCCTGACTCCACCAAACTCTCCAGGACATGACCTGGGTCAGTTCCTTCCAGCTTCCCCAGGGAGACAAGGAGTTTCGCAGGAGAGAACCTGCCAGGCTCTGGAGGCACTTGGGGCAGCTTCTTGTCCTCCTTGTTCTTAGGTGCGGCCACTGTCACCTTCCAGACCCCACACTCCCACTGCCGACCCCTACTCCCCGAACCCCTCACATCGCCCAACAGTCTCCTTGGAGCCCAGGTTCCCTTCCTCAGGCTCCTACTCCACCCGCAGTCCAACAGGACAGCACGGCCACCTGACCTCTGACCCCTGACCCCGACCCGGCCCTCCCCGTCACACCCACCTGCCCGGGACCTTGCTGTTGCTGCGCTTCCAGAACTGCTTCCTGGCCCCGTCGCTGGCCATGGCCGCTCCACATCCCTCAGATCCGCAACCCTGACACCCAAGAGCGGCCGGTCCACCTCCAGCGGCCCTCTCCTGTGCCCCGGTGGCCCCTCAGAAACACCAGGACTCCAAAGCGTAGACCCAAGAGACGCTTCCGCCTCCGTCCGGAAGTTGTGACTCGGCGATTCCGGAAGTCCCGCCTTCGTTTCAGGCTGTGCTTGACGCTATGAAAAGGCGACGCTGGGACGTGTGCGTGGCTGTTGCGCAGAAAGGAAAGCAGAGTATTCGGGTTGCGTGTGTTCGGGCTGCACTAAGAACGTTCAGGTCGAGCGGCACGGGCTGAGACCGCTGGATCCCGGCCTCTGACCCCCGGGGCGGGTTGCCCACCATGAAGGCCGGAGTCGCGTGCGTCTGGGTCCGAGTTGGCCTTAGTTGGCTCGCAGCGGACTAGCAAGTGCCGAGAACCAGAAGGAGCAAAGCACAGATCCGGTCCCAGCTGCGGGCGAGCGGGCGGGCAGGTGGAAAGCCTCTCCCGCTGTGGTAGGGTCCTGGCCTCATCCCCAGGACATTGACCCCAGATCAGTAAACGCGGCACAGTGAAGTGGAGGAAGCAACTATCACCGGAGCCTATCTGACGCGGATCCCCCTAGACTTCAGCTGAAGAACGAATAGGCACAGAGGCATGAAGAATTCATCTTGCCGGCGCTCGCGTGCTTCTAAGTCCGCAGTAAAGTGTGCTTTAATTGTAAGATATATGCAAGATCCAAAAGCTTAGTATGGAAATGTTAATTATAATTTCACATTAAATGATACTTTATATATATTGGGTTCTGTAGACTATATTGTAAAGTTTACTTTCACTTTTTGCTGTGTAGCGTAGCTACTTGAAATTACTTATGTGGTTGGTGTAAAATTTCTATGGTCTTAGACTCAAGGTTGAGAGGCTTGCATATCCAGCCGGAGCTTTAGTGTAACACTGGTAGTGCCAACCGCCAGTTGTCTTTACTACTGAGAAACACGTTCACCACTGCTGTCTCCTGCCCTTTTTCTGCTTTTGATATGGTCTCCCTGTTTAGCCCAGGTCCTGACTATATTCTCAAGACCCAGTCTTCTAGACATATTGACAAGTGGTGTTGGTTTAGCACTTGGTGGATGCAAGAAATCACACTAAAGGACTTTGTATGGCTTAGCCCAGTTGTATGGCAGACTTGTCCTCAGTACTCAGAGCAGGGTGAATGGCCTAGCGCCCTGTATCTCAACTTTGTCCCCATTCTTTAAGAGTAAAGCCTTCTGCCACTTCTTAGAGACTACAGTAGCTACCTGACTCCATTTTGACTGCAGAAAGGGGTGGCCGTTGTTCCTCTTCATTCCCTGCACAGCCGTGGCCTCGGGAACTGAAATAGTACATCGTAAATGTTTGCTGCCTGGATGACAACCCCAGGGCTCTCCAGGAATCCCTTATGACACAAGCATGAGAACTTCAGGAAATACTAGGGACTGTGTCAACAGGTCCTGTGTGATCCCTTCAGGCACAACCTTTAGAACATAGCTTCAGCTTCTCCCTGGAATCCCATTTCTAATAGTCCTTGGAGTCTGAGAGAGCTGGCAAAACTAAGATTAATAACCATTTCCTGGCCTTGCCTAGAGAGCTACTTAAAAAAAAAAAAAAAAAACCTCAGTGGTACATAGCTATATCCCAGCTTCTCAAGAGGCTGAGGCAGAAGAATGGAAATTAAAAATTGGGTGTGCTCACTTCAGCGGGACATATACTAAAATTGGAATAATACAGAGATTGACATGGCCCTTACAAAAGGATGACACACAAACTGGTAATTTGTTCCTCTGTGTGTGTGTGTGTGTGTGTGTGTGTGTGTGTTAGGCAGAAGCCATTAGCCAACCTTAGATGTCTTCCACTATTGTTTGCCAACTTATCTTACTGTACCTGCTCTCATCAATTGCCTAGACTGTTCTAGGGAATCTCCCTTTCTCTGCCCGCCCAGCATGGAAGTTCTAGGACACACCAGGATTTTACATAATGCTAAGGATGCAAACCCAGGTCCATATGTTTATGCCACAGACACTTCCTATGAGCCATCTGACCACCCCAGTGTATCATGTTTTTAAAATAAAACCTGAGCATCGTGGCATAGGTGTATAATCCCAGCCATCAGAGGCTGCAGATAAAAGATCCTCAAGTTTAAGGTCAGCCTAGGGTTTATACAAAGACCCCCTCTCTGAAAAGAATTAAAGTACACATATTAAAAGCTGGGGACATAGTGGTAACAGTGCTTACCTAGCATGTGCAATACCTGGGGGAACACTTAGAATCCTTTCCTAGTGGAGTTCGAGAAGACCACAGGGGCCAGGCCTGGTGGCATGAGCCTTTGATCTCAGCACTTGGGAGGCAGAGACAGGAGGATCTCCATGAGTTCAAAGCCAGCCTGATCTTAGACCCTGACACACACACACAAAAAAAAAGGTAGGCTCCAGGGATCTCTTCCTAATCTCAGCCATGAGACCTCACCAGAGATAGGGGTCCCAGTAGCCTCAGAAATCTCCTGCAGGCCACATACCAAAGACTGTTCTCCCATTCTCTCCAGCTCAGTCTGGTTTATGCAAAGATTGAAAAAGCAAGGAGCCAGCAGGATGAGGAGGAACAGGGGAGCAGAAAGAAAGAAAGAAAGTGCTGTGTAAGAGCACAGGGGAATCTGTTGCAGTGACAGTGGTACCCTAAATTCAGCTGTCCACAGCCACTGGTAGGCTTTCCCACATGCTGGGAGTGAAGCCGAGATTAAATGTGCCTACAGCATAAGGTTATGTCCGGTCTGTGTCTTCTCCCTCAGACACTGTATTAGAGAACACACATTCATAGATGAAACAGGCTGGTGGGGAGGGCAGGGCAAAACAAACCCCTAGTGATCAGGGACAGCACTGTCCTTGACTGACAATCAGCAAGACAAAGTTAAGGTAGGAATATTTAGAAATGGCTATGGGAAGGGCAGACGTGGGATTCAAAAGGAGAGTGTAGGAGGATAGGTTTAAAAGTTACAGCAATGTGAAGTAGGACCTGTGCAAGAACCAGACAGGACAGAGTCCCAAATGCCTGAGGTGAGAAATGTGTTGAGTGGAACGGTTTTGGGAGGAAGACAGAGCCTGGCTGTGTTCTCAGGCTGATCTGATCCTCCCACTCAAGTATCTAGGACTGTAGGTGAAACATACAGTCAAGCAGCAGGTATAAGAGGCTTCTAGTCACTGAGGTTCAGACAAGCAAATGAAAAGCAGCAGTGTACTGTTTGACAAGGAAAAGACTGAAGAAAACTGTGAACGCCAAGACAGATGAAAATGTGGGTTTGTAAACAAAGACAAGCTTTTATGGCCTGCAGGAGGGGGTTCAAATGCATTCGATAACTTGGGCCATTTAAAAATTTCTAGTAGCTATTTTGCAATTCAGCAGTTTCCCTCAGGCTATGTACCCTGGAGCAGAGTACCCAGCTGTGCAAGGAAAAGAATGTTCATTTCCTCTTCTCTCCTGGTGGAGGTGGGGGTTGGAAGAAAAGCAATCAAAATGTCATCTGCGGGAGAATTGACAAATGAGTTTCCCCGCTAGAATACTCTGGTAATAAAAATAGATTCACTTTTACAGACATCGACATTAACTTCACGCGGTTGAGAGAAAAGGCTGTAATGGAGGCATATGGCACAGTACCATTTAGTAGCGTTCTGTTTTATTAATACCGGTTTTTAAAGCATGAGAATGCCAAAAGCCAAATCCAGAGGAGTGTTTGCCTCTGGGTGTTGGAACAATAATCAAAAAATTCCTAGGTTTCCTTGTGCTGTTGTGCTTGCATCTTAAAGCAGTCGACACTCAGGTGCTTGTGACAGTCGGTATGATTTTTCCACATCTGTGATCTCTGAGTGGACATTAGCATGTGTCTGAGCTCCTGCCCTGCTCTGCACTGAGCTGCAAATTCAAAGTAACTGAGAATAGGCAGGGTTCACTGGGAGGCTTGAGGGATGGGGAGGATGGTCACACCGGGTCTCTTATGACCATGGATTGAGGCCAAGTAGGTGAGACAGGACAAAATGAAAGAAGCACCGTTGCTTAAGGAAAGAGGAGAATCTGAGCCAATAGGTAATACAAACACCTCAGTGTAACTGCCGTGAGTCTGTGAGTGGAACGGCCATGTCTCGGCTATCCCAGCATCCCTTCCCGTTCCCCAGCTCTGACACTCTTCCCTCTCTCCCGTGATGTTCCTTGAGGACAATGGATTAACACAGATGTTTCCTTTAGGCCTGAGTACTCAATAGTCTCTCTTGAGTTGTTTTGAGTCTCTGAATTGACTGCTGTCTACTGCAAAGAGAGACTTCTCTGAACAAGGCAAAAAACACAAATGTTTAAAAGGCAGTTTGATAACATGTCCGTTTAGCAAAACAGCTAGAGTAGGTTTTTCCCTAGAGCCTATGACTTCCCCAGCCTGAACTTTTGACCAGGCATGAATTTTTTGCAGTAGCGGGCATGAATTCCCTCCTGTATAACAGGCTTCAAGTCTAATCTTAAAAGTGACTGATTAGCCTGTGACAGTCACACCACTCTGGTACAACTTGCCTAGCAGTTCGGGTACTATAGCATTCAGGGTCCCCCTGTGGCAAAGCCTGGAACATTCAGGACAGTTCCTCCTTATCTCTGGCTGTTGTGTTCTCTACACATTCTGCCCAAGAATTGTAAGCAAGATGAAAAGCTCTGGTTGACCCCAGGTCCCTCAGAGACTTACCCACCTGCATTTGCTCCATAGGAGCTGACATACTTCTGTGGCCGCTGCCCAGTATGAAGGAAGTGATGGTTTGGACGTGAGATGTCCCCGCAGGCTCCTGTGTGTAAATCCTTGGTCCCCAGCTGCTGGTGGCTTTAGGGAAATGTGAAACTTTTAGGAAGTGGGGTCTCACTAAGGCAAGCATATCACTAGGGTTACACTTAATGGAAGTAGCCTGGCCCAAGCTCTCTCCACCTCCTAGCTGCCTATACAATGTAATCAGACTGGGACCACTCCTACTGTACCCTCTCAAACCACGAGTCAAGATCAATCCTTCCTCCCTTATCTAAGTGTTCTTCTCACTACAACAACAAAGCAGGAAGC